TAAATGAAAATCTGGAATTAAGAGTAATAGATTTTTTTTTTTTTTAGATCTTTTCATGTTTGGCCTCCCCATTTTCCCAGCTGGGGTGACTACCTGACTTGTTCTTCTCTTCATTTCAGTTCCTCTTCCTTCCAGTCCACCTATAAGGGCACCAATAGCTTCTCTTTGCTACTTGCATTTTCTTGCAGGCAGCAAAAATAGCAAATGTTCCTCCATGTAATAAACATAATAGCTTGAAATCAATTGACAAAGTTAAATTCAGCAAAGCACCCTCTTCTATTAATATTTAAAGCATCATTTAGTATATTTGCTATTTAAACAGATACACTAAAACCCTTTGTGTAAAAATAACTTTAATGACATTTCAAAGTCAGCCATCTAGAAAATATCTTAGTTATATTGTGCAGTGCAGACCAAAATCAGCCTCTGCTTTGTGGATCTAGAGGGGCTCTGGTTTCCCATTAATGCTGTGTAACGGGGCTTGTGCTCCCCATCGTGCAATGGCTGGAAGAAGCACGTGGCCACGCAGCCCTTGTCTGGATCCATCCCTGTGTTACAAACAGACTAAAGAGAAGAGGAAAAAAACAAAAAACCAGAGAGGTGTTAGAAATTCAAAGCACGGTTAGGAACCCGGTTTGCTAAAATCAGTGAAATTTTGCCTCTGAGTGAGAAAGGGGATTTCACCTGAGGTCTGCTGTGCATGAGCTCGGGGCTCTCCTCCCTGCCATACACCATCTTCCCTGAGGGGCCCTTTTCCCCAGGGGATCCAGAAGGAGCACTGGGAAGTTTTGCTTATGCCAGCATTAACCAGGCGGCAGGCAGCCTGGATCACCTCAGCAGGCATGCAAGGTGTTTGTCCAGCCCACAAAAACCCCCCAAAATTAGCTTATGGAATGGATACCACATCCCACCCAGCGTCAGGAATATTCATAACCTACGACGGGACGTGTCGCGGTCTACGTGATTCCAGCAGTGACTCAGACAAAGGCCGCGCATTCGTGACAGCTTTCATGGGGTCGTGGCATTTGGAGAGAAGAGCCACCTCTCAGATCACCATGTCTAATGATGATCCCTCTCTTCAAACTTCAGCCAGTCTTTCCAGAAAGACGTATTTGATATTGAACTGATTGTTACACTTGATCTTAGCCCAAAGGGCACATCCCCAGCTGCTGGATACACAATATTTGTGCATAAACAAAATCTTTCTGCCTTTCAGTCCAGCCTCTTTTCCTAAGCCGTGTCTCATTCAATAATTTACCAGCTGTTCTAGAAAACACTCTGGCTTCAGCAGTAAGGAACTTTAATTGATTTGCCGATGTCTGGAGCTATGTTAAAATATAAAGTCAAATGCTGGAGAGGATATGCTGCTGTGTGCGTGTAAACTTCAGAGAGCTGACTACGGGCCAGCAGCTCTCCCCACCACCCCTTCATTAGCACGGGGTGGTGCAGAATATAAATTCCTGTGGCTTTGAGCACCTGCAGCACGGCTGGGGCTGACCTTCCCCTTCAACTGCTCCCAGTAAAACTGCAGCAGAAACCCAGCAGGAAGGAGGCTGTGCTTCTTGGAGCTGTCATTAACTTCCAGTTGGGCTTTGAATTTATCGGACAGCCAGCAGCGCCTGCCAACAAAACAGACTCCTTTCCGGCTCTACAGCAGCGCGGTAACGGGTGTGCGAGGGTCGGGGATCACGGGCCAGGGAGGCCCAGGCGTTAGCTGCGAAGATAAGGCAGGCAAGGAGGTGAGAGCATCGCACATCTCTGCCTGCACCACGGCTCATGCCAGCCCCAGTGTAGCGCCTTTCAGGGGGAGCGACCGCCCTGCACAGACGGACGTGGGCACCGTCCAGGTCGAACCCGTGGGACGCTGCAGCGGCCGACACCAGTGTTTCCTGCCCCTTCTTTTAAATCTTGGCATTGTGGTCCTGCAGTGGGAGGAGAGGGACAGGTGAGAGCCTACAGGAGCCGAGGGAAGGAAAGCTGCCTCTGCACATCACTGTCACAGTGTTTATTTATTTATCATGTAACGGTAGTTACAGCTGGAAAAAGCAGGAGGGGGATTGCTGCCAGACAATGTATCTAGGGAGATGTTCTGTTAGTGCCACCAGCTGTCCCCTTGGAATAGAGAGCACGTCTGAGCCATGACTCATGCAGCCAGTGTCTTATTTCACTCTCACATCTATCCAAAAATGTTCCTCCAGCCCGAGAATGCAATAAAAGCCTCCATTTCCTGGCAAGGACTTTCGCAGCCAGGTCTCATCGACTGCCCCTTTGCGATCAAGAAGGGAAAACAGCCATTTTAACTTCAGGAAAGTAACTCCCGCTGCAATTAGAGGAACAGCAGATGACCTACCTGGGAGATAGGTCAAGGGAATACAGTACTTCTCTATGTGAAATACTTATTTAAGATGGGGAAAGTGTCATCAGATTGTTCAGAGATGCCTCTAAAGTCAGTGGAGAAACTCTTCTGAACTTGGATGGATGCAGACCTTAAGATCCAATACTCCAGCAAAGCCAGAAAGCTTCTCCTAGAACAGGTTGTCATCTTAGCCTTGCCTTGCTAGCAGTCACCTTTGCTGGCAGCATCCCCATGCAGACAGCTCTTCAAATCTTACTGCAGGTTGGTGTCTCTGAGGTCTACACCTCCCCATTACTTCATCTAGCTCTGCTCAGGTATTCCGGCCTCGATGCCCCAGCACAGTGAAGCCAGACCCTTTAAAATAGAGGGAGACAGACTGCCAGATGTTGCAGGACGCATCTGTCATGGGATGGAGAACAGGCTCAGGCAGGAAACCACAGCTTGGGTTTGTGCCACTGAGATGGAGCCGGCTCAGCGGCTGATCCTGTGGCTGCCATGCAGGGTTGTGGTCACTCCGCTGGAGGTTTCCCCATGCACGAGGTGCGGCTGCTGAAGAGGATTACCTATGAGGGAAGAGTCCGCACCTACCGGCTGCATCCAGCGTGCTGGGTACAGGGAGAGGCCACAGGGCTCTGCTGGGAACGAGCATGGTTTAGCCCTTGCTGCGGGGCAGCGAACGGCGAGAGGCAAGGGGCTGGTTCTCATTCTCCCTGTGCGAGACCTGACGTGCGTGCAGATCTCTTGTGCCTCTTCTGTGGCCGAATAGCGATTCTGCTGTGCAGGGCTCTCCAAGCAGAACGAAATTCAACTAAATAAACCATTAAATCAGTGGGGAGAGGGACAGGGTGGAGGAAAGCCTCAATAAAAATGCTGGTTGGCAAGTGCAACGATTTTAGTTAGGGAAGTACCGCTGGGAGGTCCTTACGTGAGGCTACTCGCATCCCTGGCACCTCTCGGCACCCATGCCCCAGCTCCTCTGAACTAGCTGATGGAAAAAGCTTCCATCACTAGCTTTAGTCATTAGGCCCACGCACGCACGCTCTTGTACACACATGCGCACTTCGGGGGCACTAGGGTCACTTAAAAACAACCGAACAAAATCGATCAAAGCTTTGATTCCTATGGCTCTAATGCAATATGTCAGACTGACAGTAACTCGGTGGCGTCCCTTCATATTTTTGGCGCAGGCAGACGCTGCGGTGTGGTGGATCATGACTATTTAGCTCGCTGCCCTAGATGGAGCTTTGAAGCAGCTGGGGAAGGGCTGGATAGAGGTAGAGTCTCAGTGCCACATTCCCGAGATTAGATTAGAGTTCAGCCCTGAACCCTGCAGAGGGGCCAGGCCAGTGAAAGCTAGAGGCTGCAAGAAAGATGGGACCCTAGCCATCAAGAGCTTCCAAAAATAAAGAAAAGTGGGTCAGAGGGACTGAAGAGGGGCTGGAATGCTTCTCTGAAGTATAAGGGTAAGAAGGAAACAAGCTGTCACTCATTAAGAGAGGATTCCCATCCCCAGAAACACTGCCTGAAATGTCAAAGGTGAGAGTAATTGGACAGCGGAGTTGGAATTTGAGCATAGTTACCATGCAAGAGGAAAAACACTACACCTGCCCTCCAGGAAAGTATTTTAAGCTTAAAAATAAATAAAATTCTGCACCATGAAAATGAAAGATATATGTTCCACGGATAGGATGTCTTGGAACTTGTCAAATCCTTGATTGCACTGTTGTCACAATACTCTCCATGCCAGCTGTGTCAGTCATCAAATAAACAACTTCTCATCACTAGCAAACAGTGAGGGAGTAAAAGGGGGGGTGTGGGGTGTGCTCTGTCCCCAGCACGACTGCATTTCAATGATGTTACTAATGAAAAGCGACAGAGGATATTGTAGCACAGAAAGGCAGGCTGCTGTTAGCAAGGGGGCTTGAAGCAGTAGCCAGAATAAGTTATCTATGCCAATATATTATTTATTATCTATGATCAAATTACCTGCCCAATGGCATAAATTTATTTCACTTTGCGATAGTGCAGACCCCTCTAAAGTTGTAAAGAGCTGACTACAACAGTATCACAAAGACCGCTTGGCCTGAAAGCAGTTGTTCACACCTATTTAATTTCTGCAAAGTACAGTTTATCCTCCTCAAACTAAGAGCTGGTTTTCCACTAAGTACAGACTGAATACTCCATCAGATATAGCTTAATATTTCATATTTACCCAAATCTTGATGACGGTGGGTTCTGAACTAAGCGCAGAACCCAAGATACTGGAGATTTGATTTCCAGTATGCTTTGGCCAAAACATGAGTTCTGCGCAGCTACACATTTTCCATTTACTTTCACCCTCATGGCATAGCAGGATTAGCCTCTGAGAAAAATCTTACTCAGGTTTTCATTAGGCTTTGCTCACAAGGGATTTATACAAACTTTAAATTATTTAAATTTAGAGCGAGAAATTGGAAGAATTTCACATAATCCCAAAGAAAAAAAAAAAATATACACCCCCCCCCAACATATAAAACTCTTTTTAGAGCTCATGTGAAAGCTACATTACCCCTGAGTATCCTTCTAAGTTACCACAGCCTCTTCAAGAAATCTGTTTGATACAGTGCCGAGCAAGCCAAACATCCCAACCCATCACGTCAATAAAATCTTTACAGTCCTTCTCATTTCTCTTTGTACGAAAGGCGGATTCCACACCCACGCTAGTTCAGGAAAATCCCAATAAGTACCTTACCAGAATGTCTCCAGTACTCTGTCCTGGGCACGCTGCTGACACCAGTCCCAGTTATCACTGCATAACCACACACACTTCACTTCTCATCACACCTCCACCACAGGCTCTCATCTGTCCCATTCTTTGGCTCCAGTGCAATCACTCATTCAACATCTGCATCCTCTGCAGCAGCAAAGGTGAAAGAAACAACAAAATCCTGCAAGAATTTGCGGTTTTCAAATGCTTACTCTTACCTAGCTACGTTACTGCTCCCAGTATGCTAGGCACTTTTCAAACATTCAGGCAACAGAGAGAAAAAACACAGAACAACGGGCAGATGCTCAGCACATGCACTTGGAATTGCCCTGCACCAGAAATACTGCCCCACTGTGAATTATAAGGCTGACTTTAAAATATCTGGGAGAAGGTTCTGGTTTGCATTTATACCAGTACGATCTGACACCGACTTCAACAGCGAGATTTCGCCCTGTTCAGCTCCTGTTTTCAGTGTCCCTGCATGGACGGGCAGGGTGGAAGGAAAGGTAGGTGTCCTGCTCCTCTGAACACTCCTCCTGTCCCTGCTCCAGGCGGCCCAGGAAGCCAAATCCACCACAAATGGGGATTTTTCAGCAAACCAAAGGGGAGCTGCCCCGTCCCCTCTTGCCTGAGCCAAAAGAGCGGTCCTTCAAGGTTGGCAATATAATAAACTGGCAAAAGAAGGTAGATGGAGAAGCTGCCAGCTTTGCATCTTGCCAGCTATCTGTCACACTAATGGATAAACAGATACTTGTGCTGCCAGCATTTTCCATCCATTGCTTAACCCGCCCATGGTGAAGTCGTCACTTAATTTTGAATTAAAAGGGGCGCAAGAGGGACTGTTAAAAAGACCAAGAGAAAGCAAGGGAAGGAGGCGACATCTGAGAGCGCTGGGTCATCCTACCCCATCCAGCCTCTATCATTGCTGCTTTGTTCCATATTTAGCTCCTGACAACTGTGCCTACTGCAGAAACTCCCAGCTCTGTTTTTCCCTCCTCCCTTGGCTGTCTCCTCTCCCTTAGAGCTCTCAGAAATTGCTCGCTCTTTTTCCCAGTGGCCATAACTTAATACCCCTATACTCAAGAAGATGGCAGAAAAGCAGGAGGAGCCCAGCAACACCCAGAATGGTGAACCTGACAATGCAGAAGAGGGCGAGGAAAAAAAGAAGAAGTTGAAGCGGGAAGACCTGCCACCGTTTGAAATTGTGAAAGGGTAAGAGGTTTAGTTATAGATATGAGGGTGCAAAAGAGCAAAGTGGGGATGTTCAAAGGTCTCTGCCTCAGCTCTTATGTTGGGTAATTAAAGATGGTATCTTCAGGCAGTGCACTTCCGAGAATTCTTAAACGATGTAAGTATGGCTTTCATTATTGTGGGTTTTTGTTAAAAGTTTCACTGAGTTTTACAGGGGATGGATTCATACCAGGCAGGCAGATAAATCAGTTTGTTTTATACAGGCAGGTCTGTTTCTATAGTGTTGACTGATTCCCTTCCAGTGCAAGTAGTCCCACCGACTGCAATGGGATCATTTGCCTGATGATATCAGGATGGAAGGTATTGGCCCTTGATGAGCACTGAATATTGATTTCCTGGTGTGATCAATGGCTCTTGTCTGAAAGTTTCTCTATCTGTGGATTAGGAAAAATACTCCTGCTACAGTTGATTTGCTTTATGGACTTAAGGGAGAGATTTTTCAAGAGAGCTAAAAGTCCACATTTTCAAGGGCTCCACACCCACAGCTGGAACCTGACTTTCAAAAAAGCCTAACTCGCAGAAAGGCACCAAAACAATAGGCAGTTTTCCAGACAGCAAAGCAGCAAGCAGCTCCTTTTGCTCCTGTGAGCCTGGCCTTTGAAAAAGGCAGATATAACAGAGATCTACTAGGAAGATGAACTCTGTCAGACATAACGGACAGCAGCAATTAGGAAAAAAAGTGTGTAATCTGCTATCTCTAAGGATTTCAAAGTGCTCATTGTAGTAGTAGCAAGATGCCCTACGTAGTTCTTCCCTCTGGTCTGCCCCAGTAGTCACCAAGGCAGTACTCCCAAGCGTGTAAACCAAAACAGTGATTTCTTCCAGCTGCTTGAATGTAAAGCTCAGGCCAGACTCTTAAAATCCCACTTGGAATCCTTCTGCCTGTGACATGATCACTGGTAAGAAAGATTAAAAAAAAATTGAAAAAATTTGGCTGGCATTTCTGAAAACGATGCATGAGGCAGGACAGCACCTATGTCTGATCTCACACAATGGGGTTAAATCCCTGCACAGGGCTGAAAAAAACATTTTCTTCTTAAAATATGTCTAAATCTGAAAAATCACTTCTTGGACTGGGCTTTTCACAGCCTTTGGTCTCTGTCATACACAATCGTAGAAATAATACATGTCTGCTAGAGCAGTGAGTTTTAAGAAAAGCACATCCCTCTGCTAGGAACGGAGCTAAGACACCAAACATTATTTTTACAAGCTATTGGACCAGCAACACATACGGTGACAGCTTCTAGACACTTAAGACATGCACTAAAATGAATCTCAACGGGGAAATCAGATTTTTCAACTTGCAGTTAGAAATCTTCAGACTTCCTTGCTAACCCCAACAACCTGGATAGGAATTGGTGTGCTAATCATGGATGAAAAATACTTTCTTAGTGTCATCCTGCAATGAAATTATTTGATGAAATGACAAGGGTGTTGCAGAATTTGACAGGACTTTCCACTCTGGAAAGGCGGTAGCAAGCATGTGAGGGATGACACGTGCTTGCAGAGGGAAAGGGGGAACAATGGGAAAACAATAGGAAAAGCTGAGTAAGCCACGCTGCCGGAACTGCACCAGGGCAGAGGTACTGCAGTAAGAGCAGCAGGTGATGCAAAGAGGCCTCGAGTTAAAGTCTGTGCTGTGGTATCCACATACGTTAAGCTGGCACCAGCCGATTTTCACATTCTATACGCTGATACCAAGCAAGACAGGAGTTTAAGTTTCTGAAATGAAAGTACGCAGACATTTGGTGAGGGACCGTAGAGCTGTCAGGATGCAAGTATTTATACCATCCTCATCACAATACTATTTGGAAAGTCCTTATAAATATCTGGTGAATTCCTGTAGGAATCATAACCAAATCTCCTCTGATTATTAGTTTATGACGAACATGCTGGCTATTAAAGGTGAGAATGAGGAAGTAAAGCAGAAATCCTAAAGGACCCCGAAAGAGGTACAGAAAAATCCAGCAATTTTTACTTTCATTTTAGCAAGTACCCTGTGAGCTCAGGCTGAGTATGATCACTGGATTTTTCTAATTATTTACAAATGTTCAGCCTATAAAGCCAGTTATATGAATTATGAGAAAACACATAACTGCAACTGTGGAAGCACTTAAATTCAATTACGCTGCATCTCAGTTTTAGCCCTTAGATTAGGGACATCTTAAGACACACAGCCAAGTTTTCAAGCTGTTGCTTATAGCTCTAAGGAGTCTGGCTGACACAAAAAATACTGGGAACCTAATCACTCTGTTTAAGAATATTAACCCCTTTTTTGTCAACATTTGGCTCAACACAGCCCTGGATAAATATAAGCCCTATCTGTGTACATTTCATGACATTTAAGTAGACACATTTATTTACACTTTCCCCAGGGTGTAAATGAGGCTCCTTCTAGCAGTGATAAATCCTTGGTTCCTGTTACAGTTGATCATTACAGACTTTCTATAATCAATGAGCCCAGCATGAATGTGTTTATTTGTGAACAGTTGTTAAAACAGTGTCCTCTTGCTTGCTCTTTATCAGCTCAAATAACCTAAGACCATAGTATAAATAGTCGCTGAACAAATCGTATTTAAATCTAAAGCATACGTCCTACTAGTTTACAGCATCTTTTAGATAATCCCACATTTTTATGCTCTCATCAGAAGTTCTAATTCTCTTCTCCTACCCAGCATGCAACAGCACTGGGGTCATGCTGGGCAGCTGCTGTATTCCTCCAGCCCACCTTATTTCAGCAAACTTAAAAGCACATTATCTCTTCAGTCCAGCACCATTCTTACAGATCAAGGTTTCTGCCTCGATGGGTAAAAGAGGGATAATATTAACATTTGTACGCCACCCATCATTCAAACATGGGAAGATAGGCTTGCCAGGAATTAAGTCATTTACTCCGGAAGAGTCAGGAAGCTATTCAAAGCTAGATCTGAGTTTCCAAAGAAGGTGGCTTAGTTTTTTTGTAGTAGTTAACACAGCTATTTCAGGGATATATTTTGATGCTGTTGTTTGGAAAGAGTTTTAATCTGCCCAGATAAAACAATACAATTACAATACTTCACTTTGCAATAAATTGTGAGGGTCATCTGCCAAGCATGCAGACAACTCAAAGGTGAGATTATGCAGCATACGGCATTTAAGTAAGTATGGTTTGTTCTTGCCCATTCTTTACTGCTGAATCACTTGCTACAGGGCTTTCCAGTTAGTCAGAGGACTGGAGACACCTTGCCCAAATCCCTGCTGCTGGGAAGAGTCACATAGCTAGGACTCGGCTAAGCCCTGTCAGGACAGAAGTTTACAATTCACACTTGTGCCAAAATGTCCTCCCTGCTCTGGTTTACATGGGATTAAGCAGATTCTTGCTAACTAGCACACACAGCTCATTGGTTGCCTATGTATCCATGTTCCACAAATTTTCCAAGCTCTCAGCCAGCTACTTACAGACTTGGAAAATGCCCTTAGCTTTGTTTATAGTCTTTATTGGAAACTTATTAATTAAGCTGATACACATTCCATGTTGCTAGGAGGACGGATTCAGGTGAACATCCCAGATAATCTTGGACAGACGCCAAGATGATAAGCAATAAAATCCGTCTAGAAGGCCTGACTAAATACACCACTGAGTCAATACATCCTGGAACAGATTGCTGCAGTTCATGAAAATGTACAGGCTCAATCTCATCACCGATGTAACCGCTTTGCAGTCAAGAGAGTTAAATCAGGAATGAACTTCCACGTGACTCTGATGTGCTACATTTAAATACATGATGTTATTTTAAAACAGCTTATGTAGCCTTACAAACTTAGCTCTGAAACAAGGCAACGGGTGGCTTATGTCAGACCCAACATAGCTGGACTTCAAAGAAATCATTAATTAAAGAATCATTAAATCATTAGCCAAAGAACCATTCATTATCTAGGATATAAAGCAGGAAAAGCACTATTCTCAGAAGCATGTGAATTTTCTTGTCTCAAAGAACAAGAGAAAGGAGTTCAGGGAATAAGAGACACTCTGCTAAATTAGAGTCTGGTAATGCTCTTTAATAAAATCAGTGGAAGTCTTGCAATTCATCTTAAAGAAAATGAGACTCATTCTAACAGGTAACTTTAAATCATCTAATGTAAGGGAACAGAGGTCAAAATGCTACGAAAAGGAAGTTAAAGTAGCCTTTCTGGGTAGAACTTGTGCAAGCCAGTACAAATTTCCCTTATCTAGGCTTGTACAAACTCTCAATGCAAGCCAGAGAATCACAGACCAAAGCATACCAAAACAGCATGATTTATTTGCTCATTAATCAAAATAAAAGCCTGTATCCACACTACTGCTTCCCATCCCTCATTAATACACTGCCAGCTAAAACAGTAATAGCATGGAAGGCTCCCAAACAGGCTTTTCTGTTGTTTAAGTCCTGTCTCGTGCAGATCTCATCTAAGTAGAATTGAACAATGTATGTTTAATTATATCATTTAAGAAGCAGCTGAAAAACTGCTTCTAGTAAAATTTCTAAAGCCAAACTTGGACTCTAAACTTCCACTGTCACAAATCAATGACATGTGAAAAGAATTACGGTGGTCCTTGGCTAAGAGCAACAGAAGATACTACCCGCGTAGATGCAATTCTACAAACAAAATTGCTCCAACTCATACATCTTGTTGCATTTGGAAGACTAACGATCTTCCTCTCTCAGTACGAAGTACAACTGTGCCAACCTAACCGCATCAATTCTCACACCATTTGGCTGGTATAGTACACTGATATTCCAAGTGAAGTTGTTCATCTGTAATATCATGCTGTTGGGAAATCCAGAACAGAAGCAGGAACTGTAACGCCAGGCCTTTTACTGCGAATCTGTGTAGCAGGCCCAAATGGACCCTAGATACTACTGTAGTATCATAAAAAAATAATAGAGAGGGTGTTCTTTTATGTTTTAACTTTCTCAAAAGCGAAAAATGCCATAGGACTTTGGCAGCAAGAAAACTCCTGGCTGCATTGAGACAAGTATGAAATCTACACATACCAAAGAGAAATTTCTGAAACTTTGTAAGTTTGTAAGTAAAAGTTTAAATACAATTTTCCACATATGTTTAAAGTAACACAGCTAAAGAAGCTTGACAATAGCTATAGTTTAGTCAATATATACTCTGAGTTATTTATTTAGACAGCACACCATTTCCAATTCTTACCTAAGCAAAATTGCTTAGAGTACATAGTGTAATGTTTGCAGCCGGGTATTACATGAAGAACTCCTAAGTGCCTGTTCCCCGGTCTTTCTGTTCAAACATTCCTGTTCCAATCCCTCTGATTTGCACAGAATATCATGCTATTTGGGGTGCTTCATGCAGTCCTAGCAAAGCCTTATCCATTGCACTCTGTAGAAAGACATCCGCTAATTTTCAAAGGCATCAGATCCAGCTCTCCATGAACAGTCCTTATTCCTGACCTGCAACCATCCCACAGTTTCACTGCGGCTCACGCTGGCATTTCCCACTAGTGAACTGACGGTACATTCACTCGTGGTTCCCACACTACTGAGCATAACACACTGATTTTGATTCTCTTCACTCTTTTCCATACCCTTCACTTCCACTGTCTCTGGAGACATCTTGCGAGATGTTGCATCACAAATTGTTCTTCCCTCTCAGCAGAACACACTTTGCCACTTACTCCTGCAGCCTTGTTGCTCTCCCCAGTTAAAATTTCCAAGAGTCTTGAGAATCTCTCCTGACCTTTGCTCAGTGTACCCCCTGGAGAGGGCTGACATTATAATCTGACTACGATGAGACAGGGATAAGACACTGTTTTACAAAGATTCATTATTGCCTCACTGGGAATATCAAGGTTATAGGTCCACCTAAAGCTCAGATGAGAGGAGTACAACATGCCAGAAGATTACTAGTGTGCAATAAATGAAATGTTGTGTTACTACTTTTCATTATTTCCCTTTGGCTACTCTGTGCAGTCTTCACTCCCACCCTTTGTAGCATTTAGCAGGTCACAAGGCACGTTGTCAGCAATATCTTTTTCATCTTTCCACCCAACATCCTTCAAGTACTAGCTCTTGTACTGATTTACTCCACAGTTAGATGCTACAGGGGGCAATCAGGAAAGCCTGGTACGCCATTAGAAAGTAACAGGTACTATGAGATGATGCAGCTTTCCTTTTTCATCACTTCGGCCAGCAACGCATAAAAGCCATACATAGTATTTTTAAGGGACTAATTTTAACTTCCCTAAATAACAGCAAACTACCTTATTTGGACGAAAGAGGACTGCAAACACATTACTCACTGTGACAATTCACTTTGGATTATGCTCATTTAGAAACCCAGAATGGAAGAGGTGCACAACATTAAAAAAAAAAAGTATCTTATCAGTAGTATCCACGAGACAGCTGTCAAATATCAGTGGGAAATACACTTTTTCACAGTGAAGTTAAATTTGATCTCAGATATTTTATTAAACCAAAGTCACAACATAATCCTACCAAATATAAGTATTCAGCTGATACTGGAAGAGTAAAACTAGAACACGTGAAAACTGCAACTAGTCAGTCACGCTTGCCTCTACTCAGAGGAAATCCAGACTGCAAAAGCACTGGGGGTAAAACACTGATTAGCAATGCCAGCGTTGTTATCCTAACAATTTAGGACAACAATGGCCTAGAAAACAGTAAAACAGTCCAGTCCACAGCTGCATTAAGACTGCGAAAATGCCAATTGCTGTCCCTCCTTACCAACAGTGAATATCATAGTCTCAAGAAATACTTTTCAGAAGCAAGTTCCTCTTCAAATACCTCAATGCAGATACCAGAAATTCCCAGTACAAGTTTGTTAAAATTAAGTGAAAGAGACTAGGTAGTGAGAATGGGCCTGGAAGCCTCACCACACAGCAAGACTAACTGAATATCTTGTAATTTTTAATGCATTTTTATCCTCCTACTAAAAGGCATCTCCTTTTAATACACGGAGAAATACAGCCATCATAGATGCAGCAACTTGCCCAGGATCACACAGGAACTAAACCAATGCTATATCCCTTTATTATGTGCCTCTGAGATGCCTCTCTCCTCTCCACTCTTTATAGGGAGCGCCTCCCAGCCATATTTTTCAAATTCCAGTTCAGGAATGTGGAATACAGCTCAGGCAGGAACAAAACCTTCCTGTGTTATGTTGTTGAGACCCAAGGCAAAGAGTCAGTGACTTCTCGGGGTTACCTGGAAGACGAGCATGCGGCCGCCCATGCAGAAATGGCTTTCTTCAACACAGTTTTACCAAAGTGCGAATCAAGCCTCCGCTACAACATCACCTGGTACGTCTCCTCCAGTCCCTGTGTGACCTGTGCTGATCGGATAACCGAGACCCTAAAGAAGAACAAGAACCTGCGTCTGACAATCATGGTCGGCCGCCTCTTCATGTGGGAAGAACCAGAAATGCAGGCTGCCCTGAAAAAAATGAAGTCAGCTGGCTGCAAGCTGAGGATTATGAAGCCTCAAGACTTTGAGTATGTCTGGCAGAACTTTGTGGAACAGGAGGAAGGAGAGGAAGCAAAAGCTTTCGTGCCGTGGGAGGACATTCAAGAGAACTTCCACTATTACGAGGAAAAGTTGGCTGAGATTTTCAACTGAAGTCCACGTGAGTGAGGATTTCCACTTGGTCACCTAGCTCCTTGTATTACAGACTCCTCTTTTTTCTTCAGGTTGTTAAAGGCAAAACCCAGAGCCAATTTCAGTTACTGTTAGTCTCAGATGTACCTGGCTGGGTTTGCCTGTGTCTGAATATTGAAAATAATCCTAGACAGTAACTTACCCCTTCAAGGGTAATAACGCTACAGTGGGCTCCTCCACAGCAGACACCTAAGGGATTTAGAGCTTTTTTTTTTCCTCCCCCCTCCTCAGAGTAAACACCTCCAGGAATAAAGAATAAAAGGGTAGTAGGGTCACTAGGCGCAACAGGAATACCTCACTGTTCCCTGCATGCACGATATTCAGGATACATGTGGAAACAATTGGGAGGAATGTAGAGAAAGCGGGATTCCCCCACCCTTGCAAAGTCCAGCCATATAGGGAAAAAAAAAAAAAAACACCACCATAAAAGGAAATCACAGTTACTGCTTAATTCCCCTCTCTCTGTTTTGTTTTTTTTGAAGGCGTACTAAAGAGTTACCTATTGAGTCACCATTTGAAGCTTCTAACATGCCTCTCTCCTTCCCCAGGACCAATTCAGAAAAGATCTATGAAGAGAGATGTGACGGACTTGGACATCTGGGCCACTCCTGCTTTCCAAAGCTTTGATTCCAGCAGGATGGAGTACCAACTTCTGGAATACTAAGCCCTGATGGACTACAAATACATATACAACACAGATCTTTGGTGTTTGGGAATTTTTGGTTTATTTGTTCCTCCCCGCCCTGCCCCAAACAAACCCATGCTGCTTCTGCTGATACAAAAAAAGAAGGCAACATACTGTGTGGTTAAAGCCTGGAACAAAATCGGTTGCAGTGGACCTACAGGAAAGACTGTAGGCCTCGCATATTGGACTACTTTACGAGAAAAGATCTCAGAACAAAGCTGCCAATTAGATAAATGCATTTAGAAAGTACATACTTCATAAATGTTAAAAAGAAAGGGATTTAAGATGAAAAAAAGGTTTTCTTCTTCCTCAATAATCAGAGCTGTGATTTAAATTAGGGCTAACCGGTCTATTCTACATTATGATGAAGCCATAAGTACTTGATTTCAAACACATCAAATACCTTCTCCCCTTGTTCAATGATTTCTGTGATATAAAACTGAGAAAAGCAAAGTGAAATAAAATTGGAAGTCACTGCAAGAGCTATAGCACTGTTTATTCCTTCTCTATTTGCAAGAGGTCCTAAATTTAATCTGACAAGTGAGACATCCTGGGACAGCCACGTATGAAATATTTCGTAGCTCAAGTGCAGCACGATGAGAAGGGAGAATTACTGTATGCCAAAAAAATTTCAAGAGTACATACAAGTGTGGGAGACAGAATATGAGCGTATTGCTTTCCATATAAAACAAGGCACAGACCAAACAAGGGTCACAGGGACGCTCATCAGCTAAGAAACTGAGTCAGATAAGGTTCGTTCTTCCAATCAGTTCTTGAGTTGGTTTCTCCTGTACTGTCACAAGCTGCAACGGTGCTAGAGACACACGTAAACCTGCTGACCGCACCTGTCTCTTACCTCAGTCAGCTGCACTAAATCCTGGTCTAAATTTTCAAGGCAGAAAAAACAAGCAGCAATGACAACACCTTTGTGGAGCCACTGTGGATTTCATCTCTTTGCCACCAGATTTAAAAACCAAACATAAATAAGCGAGGACTAAATCAATGCGCAGTTTCAGTGTCCACTCTTGATCAGCTTAATACTCCAAGTTCCTATTTGTCTTACTGTGTTTATTTTTTTTCAGTTGTGTATTTAGCTACAGCAATTATCCACCAAAAACAAGTTTACAAAGAATGGTCAACAAACAGGGAGAGTAATAATATGAAGCTCTTAGAGACACAAACAGGATTTGCAGATCTGCATCAGCAAAGAAACCACACAATACAGATTAACCCACAATGCTTAGAACAGAAAATGCGCCACCCATCCAATTCATAGTGAAAACCAATTAGGAACCCTATGTTATACAAAAACTTTTCGATTGTTATGTCCCATCTTTTAGGTCTATTCAACGTATCTGGCATTTTTCTGGGCATTCGGGATAAGAGAAGTCAAAAAGATTTGTTATTACGGGAGGGTGGGGAAAACCAAACATAAAGGAAATGCAGAGTAGATGATAGTTCCTCAGTACTGGAGCCAAACTTTGAAAAATCAAGCCTTTACCAATGATGTGACGAACTAAGAGTGTTACTGATTCGCTTCTGCTGTTGGTGACATCAAACACCAACCTAATGTACCAGCTAAACTGCAAATGCTGTTTAAGACATACGAAAAACAAACCTTAAACTCCATACTATGCCTTTTTACAGCAACTCGGTCATTCACATGTGTGGATTCTCAGAAAACTGAGTTCTGCAGACTATACCAATTATACGGTATAAAACGCACCCAGAAGGTATCTTTACACATCTCCAGCATTCCCCTTCAAAACCCAGCTTTCCTCTAGAACACAGCCACAACACATACAGACACAGGCATGTTGTTCAAAAGGACCGTGCTCTGATCTGGCGGCAGAGTACTGAAGAGCTATTTATTTAACATTGACAGCGTGATTCTTAGTGAGTACAATCTCATAACAAAAATTGTATTTGTGGTCAGAAGGTAGAAATTAAATTTTTAATCCATAACGAACAAAGTAAACTGTACGCCAGATACGAACGTTGCAAAACTTTACAAAAAAAAAAAAAAAAAAAAAAAAAAAAGAGTGACAGGGCTCCACAGCTCATCATTATCAGCCATAACTACAAACCCACAAATACCTAAGCAACAGACAGCTCCAATTTCACTCTGCACAGGAACTGTCAGCTTTAAGCAGAAACTCTAGAGCAGGCAGGTGCTCCGTAGAGGACCAGTGACATCTGGTGGCTTGCTGGGACAGACTGGGAACTGCCCGAGGGGTACCACAACACCCCTGCCTTCTTCACAGGCTCCCTGAACACTACATCCCAAATCAGCTGCTCTGGAGCTTTTTCTTGTTGTTGTTGTTAAAGCCACTGCCACCGACAACACAGGAGTGAGCTACGCTCAGACAAAGAATGTGCTCAGCATGCAGTTTCCCCCTCATCAGTTAACAGGTTTCCACTCCTGGAAGCAAGGGAAATGGGGCTCTCTTTGAACTGTTGTGCTCACAGAGTGTAAACCGTGATCTTTATATCTGTGTCTTCAAACACTTCCCCAAGTATTGCTGAGACTTTATTCCAATCCAGGCCGTCAAGTCCACATCCAATCCTGGAAAATAAGGCATCAAACCAGCTGTAACAGCCTGTTTTGCAGCACGCTGTGAACAACTAGCCCTTCAAGCAGCTACAATTTTACGTGGCACTAACTCAGCTCACCATAAATCAACATAATGCAGTTAAACTAGGGAAACAACCAAGCCTGTATGTTTTGCTACCATTTAAACACACTGGGAAAAGCAAATTTCATTTGCGCAATTGAACAGAAGAGTTGAATAGAAGAGGGTATTTGTTGTTTCACAGCAGAGGATCATCTCTCAAACATCCTTCTACGCAAGCATTTACATTGCAGCAACTAATTTTCTTACCTAGGCATGGAAATGTCAGTAACCCCATTGTTTAGACAGTGAGCTTTCATGGCTTCTAAACTCTTCCGCATATTCTCATATGTCGGTTTGTGAGAAACTTTCTTCTTCGTAATCTAAGTATAAACGTAAAAGGTCAGTTGTGCCTTTGGCATGATCACTGCACACCTTTTTTTTTTAAAAAATACATTCCACTACACTCTGAAACTCCACACCCAGACTTGCTACTGTCAAGGTGTGCCGGTTTTGGCTGGGATGGAGTTAATTTTCTTCACAGTGCCTAGCATGGGGCTGTGTTTTGGATTTGTGCTGCAAACAGTGTTGATAACACAGGGATGTTTTCGTTACTGCTGAGCAGCCCTTACGCAGAGCCAAGGCCTTTTCCACCCCCCGCCCCAGCAGCGAGCAGGCTGGGGGCACGGGGAGCTGGGAGGGGACACGGCCGGGCCAGCGGAGCCCAGCTGACCCCAGGGATGCCCCACACCGCACGGCGTCGTGCTCGGCACACGGAGCTGGGGGGAGGAGGAGGAAGGGGGGATGTTCGGAGTGACAGTGTTTGTCTTCCCAAGCCACTGTTATGTGTGAGAGAGCCCGGCTTTCCTGGAGATGGCTGAGCACCTGCCTGCCGATGGGAAGGAGTGAATGAATTCCTTGTTTTTCTTTGCTTCTGTGCACAGCTTTTGCTTTACCTATTAAAATGTCTCTAGCGCAACCCACAAGTTTTCTCACTTTTACTCTTCTGATTCTCTCCCCCGTCCCACCTGGGGGGGAGCAAGCAAGCGGCTGTGTGGGGCTTATTTGCCGGCTGGGGTTAAACCACGACAGAGTGGAAAAAGAACTATGTTTCACAACTTAAAATAGTGTAATTTAGCAGCTAGTTCTGTCAATTTAAAGTTTAAATACACATACACAAGAGAGCGTGGCTTCTCCTCAACTAGCGGTATTTGAGTAATACATCTCACACCCCTTATTTAGAAGAGCATACTCAAAAAACCCACAACTATTAAATGCCTCATCATCATAGCTAACAGAGTTTAGTTACAGGGAAGCGCCTGAGTAATGTCCCACTCTTACCAGGTAGTAAATGTATCGGTCCTCTCTTTGGAGAACCGCCACCTCCCCAGTCTTCTTTTCTAAAATGAAGAAATGAAAAAGGTCTTTTTAAAACAGTTACACTCCACTACATAATCCCCCCTGCACCCCAAGTAGCCTGGAATACCCTTACTGCTGGAAATCAAGGTTTTCCCTTCAGCTCCTGCATGTCCACCCCACGTGTATCACTCACGTTGATCCAACAGCTCTTGTACGCCTCCAAACTTTTTCTTAAAAAGAACAGCTATGCCTGCACCCATGCGACAGTCCTCGCTGATGCAATGAGCCAAGGCGTCCGTCTTGGGGCACGAGAAAAGGTCCCCCTTAACACACTTGATCTGGAAAATGACACAAACAGAAGGGTAAATAAAAATAAGCTGAGGGCAGACTCAGATAAGGGAATACTCAGGTAACAGGGAATTTGGCAAGCCTGTACAGTAATGAGTGTCAGGCATCGGGTTTAAGATACAGTTCACAAGTAAATGAGTTGGCATGAATTACGAACCCACCACAGAGATAACTATCTTTTTCTACAAGATCAGTTATGAGTGTCACGTGCCAGCTCAGCAGTTAATTTTACAAAATCAATGCTTAAAAAGGAAAATTATGTAATAGAGAGTACAACAGGATTAGCACACATCTTCAGCATACTACCAGTGTGTCAGAGCTGGATTTCCCCAGACATTTAATTAAGCAGGTAAGCTCTGTACTGTTTTACAGTATCTGCATCACTGACATAAGCACAAAGGCACAAGAAATTTAGCAATATCAGCCAATTTCTTCCAAAAAGCTACATGGTACAGCCAGCTGCCATGTTATTAGGGGGACAGGAAGGTCTCTTTAGAGACATGCATCACAGCAGTAGCCCAGATAATCCATTCTCTACGCACTCTCTCCTCCTGATCCTTGGAGAAGTGGGTGGCCATGGTAACGTGGCCTATGGTGAAGACTCCTGGAGCTGGAAAGATGACAGAGAGAAAAAAAAAAGTTATTAGGAATCCCAAACTAGGCAATACACTGGTGTGCCAGAAGGTGCAAGGCTGAGCCTACTTTATCTGTGGGACAGCTGGGACAATCAAGACACCCCCTGAGAGTAGCAGAGGAGGGCCAGCAGCCCCAAATAGCATGGCACAAGCTTTCCTGCTGCAGCCCCACGGCTCCAGCCCAAGAGGCACAAGCAGGTCCCAGTCCAGGGTCACCACATAACTGGCACCCACAGGCCTTCCATCCTCCTCCAAGTC